GAACGAAGCATGGGTGGGGGTAGTGCTGCTCCATGCTTCGCGGAAGCCCGTTGGGAGGTGAGTGGAGCTGTGTTGCACCAGAACCGCGATGCTTGAAATATCATAGTTGCCACGAAGCCTGGAGGGGGCTGATGCTTCGCTTTGGCCTGCTAATTTGTGTTTGTTTATTTTTGCTGGGTTGTGCGCTTCTTTTTGCTTTTGGGTCCGCGGGCTCACCTTGTTTTCGTTTGCCGCCGTCAGCTGCGCCGCTCGTTTTCGCCGCCGCCGACTTTCTGCAGACTTGAGAAACAGCCTTTGTTCAAACACCTTCAACTTTTCGGACCTTTCACCCTGCCGTTCCTTCGCCATTTTTGACCTGGGAACTGAGTTAACTGAAAACCAATGTCAAAGTGTGTCCACTTCTACTCCTTGAAGAGCGAAGACATGGCACAAGACATGCCAACAGGGTGCTGAATGGAGCAGGAACCTCTAAGCCCCAAGTAACCCCGAAAGTGTTTTAGGAATACTTGCAGGAATACCTATCCGTGTTGCCGAGATGTTTCAGAAAATCATGCCGGGATCACTTGAGCTTTCCACGGTGATCTTTCAAAATCTCCGCAATTCGTGGCAAGATCAGAGCCTCACAGCGAAGTCGATGCTAGTGCCTTCGTTTTACCAAAGTCTATGTTCAACAGTTCAATGCGTAGACCTCTTCGGGCCACAGTTGAGGCAGAGCTCTGAAACTGTCACTCCTTTCAACATCCAAGTCCAAGTCTTTCTCCGGTTGCTAAATATGTTTACATATATTGATTAATATATACGTCGATTAACATGCCTTAAATGGCAACCTCTACAAAGGTCTGGCCTGTTGAGGATCTCCCTCCAAGACTTGTGCATCCGCACGTTTGAAGGGCACTCCACACTGGGCCAGCCTCAATACAAAGACCGGCGCGAAGCGCATGCAAGATACAATGAGATCGCTGCGAGTCAAGCCTGAAAGCATGTGTAAGATCAGATTATATAAGCATTTCATCAAAAGTTTAGCAAACATCATCAAAATAAAAACCAACTTACTTCGCGCGGTTTTCTTTTCTCGCAGCGGGTCTGCACTTAAGGTGGAAGCGGCAGAAGCTGCGCATCTAAAGGCCACCTTCCAAGAAGCGCATTGACATCAGCGCAGAAGCTCCACTGGATTCCACAGACGAGGAGGAACTGGTCCTGGGCGACTTGGCAGCCAGATCATATCACTTGGCCCATGCAAAAACATGGACTGAAACCAATACATTGAGCTTGCCTCAAGACTACTCCCTCTTTTTTGGCTCGCCTCAAGGATCATATGAACCACGAGTGCATAGCCGAGAGGCCCTGTGATCACTTTTGTCAACTGATCCAGGTCCTGTTGAAGAGAGCTTGGTTTGTGGGACTCAGTGACCCATCAATGCAAACCTATTTTCGAAAAAAACCGCTTATGCAACGTGGCCACATGCTCTCTCCTCCTTCAAAAGCTTTTGGCCATCAGACCCCTCATATTTGCAAGCGGCCATATCCTGAAGATTTCAGCATCGAGCGATCATCCAATCGACACTTTGCAAAGCTTGTTCCTTGAATTGTCCCGCTCGGGGTAGAGCCTGCATGAGCGCCCACCCAGCACCATCGCCATCAAGACCCTGTCGGGCGGCGTGTTGAATGCGCAGTCCCAGAGCCAACTTCATCTCCTCCACATCCACCTGTGCCAAGAGCGAAACAGAACTCAGAGACAAAGAACGACAAGCAACGACAACACTTGTTCCTTAAGGCCTCAGCGTGCATGAAGATGTTGCAAGTTTGTGAATCTTGTCAACAACTTATTTTCTCTTGCCTGCCCCGACTCCAATCGCTTGAGCCAAGTTTCACGCTGCTCCTGCGGGGCCACTTACTACAGGCTACGCCAAGCTACGCCTGTGAAACTGTGCGGTGTGTGGGACAGTGGGGTTTCTTGCAATGCCACCAGGTGCTTTGTCAGTATCAACATGTTGCCTTTTAGCATACGGAGCATCAATGTGCAAATGTGAAAGTCTGCTTCAACTAGTAACTAGCTGCATGCAGACAATCATTTTGAGAATTGAGCGAATATGTTTTAGAGAGGTGGTGTTGTTAACATCCTTGGGGGCTTACGCAAAGCACTACGGTTTGCCTACGGTTCCACAGTGAAAGCCTAAGGCAGGCAACAAACGTGAGGTTTTGTAGAAAATCTGCTCAAATTTGCCTACCATGCCATGCAGTCCTTGCGATTGGAAACGTTTTCGCAGCAGCTCACATGCACTCTACTATGGGCAGGCTGGTTACATTGGCTATGTGCTTCAGAATGGAAGACCAACAAGCAATAACTTTATGCTCATCAAGAGCTTTGAACACGAGCGACGATACCATGCGGCACCTGTGCTGATGCGTATGCACGGCAGGTTTTGACATCTACTTGAGAGTGCTATGGGCAAGCGGACATGGCCTAAGGATCACAAAATGAACTTTCGCCTACGTGGCTGCACGGAGAATCTGCACCTACGGATAGTGCCCCTAGGACAAAAACATACAACAAGAAACTCAGCTCAATTGAACTTTGAAACTTGTCCAAGTTGTCAAGTAAGTCATGCACAAGTCCACACCGTCCACACCCATGTGCAAAAACCTTGTCATTGTCGATGTACATCAAGGATTAAAAAGTCAGCTTCTGGTTACAACCCAAGACCATGTATGTATATATATATATTAATAGGATCTTAATAGGGTACAGGTGCACGTGCACTGTCGAATCTCCTATGAGTGTCTGTGTCTCTGTGTGTTCCTCAGCGGCGATAAGTAACTCCATGCGTCTCCCGAGTGTCCAAGCGTTCACGAAGTGCCATAGCCTGGCGTTGTTCGGTGGCGTTTGGCTCCTGCGACGTTTACCCATTGTACCGTCAGCGCAGCATTGCTTGCTGATTCAAAACAGTCCAAGCAATGGCATCATCAACATATTTCATGACCAGTCACTGGAACGTCCGGACTGTGAAAAAATACTGGAGTAATTCACTTGTGTGCAACTTGTTGCAGCTGCCAGCTTTTCAGTTTATCATGGCCACTTGGCCAGTCGCCTCGTCATGGGCTGTCCCGAACGGGGAGCCCCAATTCCAATCTTTGTCGGCCCATCCTTTCCTGCAGGGTCACAAGTCAAGTACTGTAACTTTTGAGACGTGAAACGCAAGTTCATGAAGCTCTCACAGCAATTTGCCGTGCCACCTGAGCAGTTTGTTTGAGCCATACTAGCTTGTTGATTGGGTGGTGAATGACAAACTGATGCGAGGAACGCAAAGCTCAATTACCACTGCACGCAAGAGTCAAGCTAAGATTCCCCATCCTGCTCTTTTTCAATAGTCCCATAGGGTAAAGCTCAAACACCACTTCACGCAAAATAGAAGTGTTCCGTGAGACATGGTTTATCCAATTCTCACGATTCTCGCCTTGGCGCGCCCAAGGTGCTTCGACGAGGTGGCTCCTGAAAGCTCTGCATCACAAAGAAGGTCAGCCTTTTCGCCAAGGAGTGTGCTGTTTGATGATTCTAACAAGAGGCAACAGCAGCACATCCCCACTCACACATAATTTGCGTCTTAGTTTGTCGATTTGTCGACCGCCATAATTTGCAAATGTGTCCTTCATCCCCACAAAACAAAGACCTGCCGAGAGCAGAAAAAGCAAGCCACGGCCGCGCACCATGGCTGGGGTCGATCACAAAGACCTCTGGAAACCAGACTCACAAAACCCCTGAAACCAAAAGACTCTGAGTGGACATCATTGGTTGATACCTCCTCTCCGCACGAGTCGCTACCTCAACTCTCTGTACAAAGACTTACTGTAGATCCCTTGAAGAGGTTTCACCATCCAAGGCGTTGTGGAGAAATTGGTGTTCTTGTCATGTCCTGAGTTTGTTCCACTCGCATTGACGCTTTCTCTGATAATAAATAGCTCTGGAGGTGTCAAACGTCGTAGCCGCGCTTGATCACACCAAGTGAATGTCAAAAACGGCAGTGTCAGCCTAAACGTGAGAGCATAAACAAACCACTGTGCATGCTGCTTATGAATATTTATTGGATGCAAACTTTGGCCCCAGGCTTCTGTTCTACAGCTGCCAACGTCCCGCTCACTTCCAACCTGTAGTGTTGAAGCACCAAGAGGGAATACAAAAATTTGAACTTGACTTTGGCGTGTATGATCAGGGCTGCGGGTTTTCTGTGTCCATTTTGGTGTTTTTGTGTTTCCTTGCTGGCCATACCAACAAACCGCCAGCAACCAACCAGCACACAAGATGGGCGGAACCAAAAAACACCTTCACAGATATGCCAGGAACAAAAAACACCTTGACGGAATTGCCAGGAACAAAAACACCCTGCAAACCTTACGGGAACAGAAAACATCATTCCCGGAAAAGGAAGCACCACGGGAACAAAACACACCAAAATGGGAACAAGAAACGCTATACCCGGGTCAAAGGACGCTACTAGGGGCTCCTGGCCGTACTACTAGGAGCAATGGACGCTACTACGAGCTCCTGGCCTTACTATTCGTATGGATTCAACTTTGATTCGTGTGGCCAACCCACATCCACTTGCTGGGTCAGTGACTCGATGGGAATCGGTATCTTCTCTGCCTTCTTCTCTGGTGACCTGAGTAACGTGGCCAATTGGCCCTGAGCCTTGCTGAGCAAATTGTTTTTTCAGTTCCTTGTTACCAGTAGTTTCTTGTTACGAGTAGCGATGGCCTCTAAGCTACTTGCGATGGCCTCCACCCAATATCGTCCTAATCGTGCTTTGTTTCGGCTCGGCTTCGCTTCCCTGAGGCTCAAACGCCTTGGGTGACTCCGACACTTTCGGCGCTTTGGTGGGGACAGCGATGCCTTAGAGGGCGCACGATGGAGGTCCCGTGACAGTCGCTTCACGACTTATTCAACAAGTGACTTCCACTCAACAATTCTTAAGACACAAGAACACTTGTAGCTTAATCAAACACACAGAAGCTATTGCTCGTATATAAGTTTGCTTGCCTGGTCCACAGAACTACGTCAACAAAAATAACAATCACTTGGAAACAACAGGACGACAGGGGCACCAATATGTCGGAAAGAACGTCTTGGTCTCTCACGTCTCTCACCACTCTTGCCAAAATGGACGGTTAAGTCCCAAAACTGAGCTGCAGACTGTCAAGTCTACGGATATCACGCAAAGCCTACGGCTGGGCAAGGCGATGCAAATTCTAGCGGGTGTGAGTTTTACGCTTTAGGTCGTGGCCTGAGCCACACCTAACTACTGAACAATGATGTCCCCTTTAATATCCCTTGCAAAAGAACGACAAACCCAGACCATGTTGCGGAACTAGCGCATGCACCAAGCAACAACGCAAGCCCCACCCACAACGTATTTTTTTCCCCAGATTCCACCTTGGGACGCACAAGACGAGACTCTACTAGGACCAGGTTGGAACTCTGCCAAGCTAAAGAAAACGAAGTGCGCTTTCGAACTGCTTTTGACACATGCCTTGACGTAGGATATCTTTGACAGCAAGGCTCCATGTGTCCCCTGACTCATCTGACTCATCTGGTGACCACCCACATGCAACCAGCGCTTCCAGGAACCCCTCACACTGGTTCATCTCTTCGATCTTCTTCGCTGGAAGCCTTTGCCATTTGGAGCCAGATGGTTCCCTTGCAATACTAGAGCATATCTTGATCAAGCGCTTGAGAGCCTTGACCTTGGTATCCTTTTGACAGTCGGCATATTGAATCTGTTTGATTGCATCCAACAATTCCGGATTCGTCCGCTTGTGAGTAGTCTTTGGCAGCGAACAGGTAGGAAGTAGAGACTGTCTGGCTCTTTGTTCTGCTGCTGCCGCTGCTTTGTTGCGATCGGCGATCCTTGATTTGGTCGGAGAACATGCCCAAATAGACTCAAAACACGGCATTGCTTCCGTTCGATCGCTGGCACTCTTGAGCTGCCTGACATGAGGGGCAACGATTGTGAAGGTGGCCCTTGTGCAATTCCTTCTTCAGGTTTGCTCGGCATGACTTGCATTGGAGAAGCTTCTGAGCAGGCTCATCCTTCTCTGTGTCTTTCGCATGTTCCATCTCCTGGCGTATCTGGACAATGAGCAACAACAGTAGTACTTCAAGTACCTTAAATTCTTCTATTCTTTCAGTTCTACTCACCTCCAGGCTGTCAGTACCCAGCTTTATATTCGTAGATCTTTCAATGTTTCGCGGATTAGGTGCATGGCCACGTGTTGATGGAGTAGATGGTCCAATAAACTTGTTTGCAAGGAATTCGCCAGCCCTTTTGTCAATGGGCTCGACCACAGCGGGCAAGATTGCCATCATCACCGCAGCCACTAACTATGCAAGCTACTCAAATCGGCCAATGTTTGAAGAGAATGCATCTGAGTACTGACCCTGTCTTTGGAGTAGTTGACCTATTGCTTTGAGTCTGCTTTTTGTTGGCTAGAATTCTGATTGTTGGCGGGTCATCTCCAGGTTTTCGCGTTCATGCACCAAAATGGCCAAAAGCGGTACAGTAAATGCATGGTGCAAGTTCCAGGTGCAGGAGAGTCCGAGAACTGACAATGATCTTCCATACACCAACCCGAGGTTGCCCGGCCTAAGGCTAAGGCCAAGGGTCTATCCAAATGCAGCTTTTGCTTCAAAGATGTCTTGCGTATCTGGCAAACATCACTCACTTCGATCAGGGACCTTCTCAGCCGCCATCTTCTCGGCAGCTAGCTGTTCCAGTGCAGCTTCCTGGCTGGCAAAGTGACAGCCCGGCTTTCCGCAACGAAACAAACTCCACAGCATTCAACCCTCAAGACCCTCAAGTCTCAATTCTTGTGCAAGGACCTGGTCACAGCCCAAAAACACGTCGCCGAGGCCTGGCTGGCAAGCGCCTCTCGCAAGCGACCCAGCAATGCCTAGGCCAGTGATGTCAACAATGTCTGCCGCTATGCCTGAGTTTTCACAATCGATTCAGCTAAAAGGATTCCACCTCAGCTTCTGCAAGATCTGCTTCAGCCTCCGCTTCGCTTGATTCTGCCTTCAGCTGGTGTGGCGAGACATGCTTAAAAAAATGTCAAAGGAAGGAGACTCCTTCATCGGTGCTTATGCTTGGGCAAATGTGACTATGTGCGGGCAAATTGTCTGGTGCCACTTTGGCAACCCCTCCTGCCCCCCTGCCTTTGTTCTGGCCGCAACTGCCTCTGTCAACTCCTGGTCTGCTAGAGCTGCAGAGATGATGATGCACAACATGTATCTTTGGGATCCAACCAGCATATGATATTGTTCCTAGACCATCTTCAAAGTGACTCACAAGGCTTCGGGTGATCAAGAGTACATCATGTTTGAATATGCACAGATATCTGACCGGTCCATGTCCCCATATGCTTGACTTGGAGCAGACCATGTCATGTGCAAAGGAAAATACAGCCAGGGTTTTACCTTTTACTCCTAAAGAAGCAATGTCAATGAAGAAACAAATTGAGCAATCAAGGCCAATTCTATAGTTCTGATAGATGTCCGCAAAACCATCAGATCAGACATCAGTGCAAGTATTGCAGCAAGGAGGTCGATCCTACCCTCCACTGCGAAGAGAAAGAAGAGAAGTGAAGCGAAGGCCGAAAAAGGGAAGAGGATAGGAGAGCCGTGAAAAGAGCCAAATGGAGAGCCAAAAGGAGCGATTTGAGGGAGGCAAAGGGGCACCGAGCTGGGGAATCTTAAAAATTGGGCAACACACTTGCAACAGCGTGGGTCGAGTGGTCCAGCTTTGAGAGTCTGTTTGTCGTCTTTTTCTCTCGAGTATGACCGTGCAACTGTCAGTCATACAGTCACCCATGCGGCCCAAGGAACTGCTTGGAGCTTTATCCGCTCGGTGTGCTCGACAATCAGCGCCTGTGAACACAACCCACTGCTGCGGTTGCCCAGCAAATGCTGCAATTGCCGTGATAATCATGCATATCCCCACTCTGAAGGTTTTTAATAGCACTCAAACATACTCAACCCCACGTAATCTTTTGACAAGAGCGCTCCTGTGCTCGCCTTAGGTAATTAGCCATGAATTTTGCACACCGCAAATGGTGTAGAACTCTGTATGACTGCATAACTACCCCTTGCTACTGAAAACAGATCCGGGAGGTGCTCCTGCACCCAGTGCAACAAGGGGCCGCAGGGCTCCGAGGCTCGGAGCACGGCCGCAATGTCCAAGGGAGGCTGCGGCTTCACCGGGACCTCAAGTGAACCCACAAAAAAAAGTCAAAACAGCTGGGACCAGTGAAACAACCGAACTGCTTCGGTCTGGAAAGGACGAACACCAAGATTGTGGATAAAGAATCCCACTATCAAATCGAATAATGTAGGCTATATACTGTATGTCTGCATTTTGCCGTCACATAAAGAGTATAGAAGCTATTCCGGCTATTCCAAACAATCTTGGTGACCTTCACTGTAAGTCAAAGGACTGTGGCGCTTCGCCGCAGTGCAGGGCGCACCTTTGGAGCACCTGATCGAGGTCGGCAAAATCAAAGCCTTCGGATGAATAGGAAGCTCGAAAACTACACAAAAAAATTAGCCCAGCTGGAGACCCCAATAGCAAGATACAAACCGGGACAAAAAGAAAAATCTGGAAACAGCTGCTGTTTTCAACACATCGACCATCTCGTCCTTGGACACCATCATCACATAACCGGGACACAATCACAAAATGACCAGGGCACCATCAAAACATGACCGAGACACCGTCACAACATGATTGGGACACCATCACAACATAACCAGGACACCGTCACAAGGTGACCGGGACACCAGCATGACATGACGGGGACACCATCACAACATGACCGGGACACCATCAAAACATGACCGGGACACCGTCACAACACGAGCGAGACACCATCAAAACATAACCGGGACACCGTCACAACATGACCGGGACACCATCAAAACATGACCGGGACACCATCACAACATGACCGGGACACCATCAAAACATGACCGGGACACCATCACAACATGACCGGGACACCATCAAAACATGACCGGGACACCATCAAAACACGACCGGGACACCATCAAAACATGCCCGGGACACCATCACAACATGACCGGGACACCATCACAACATGACCGGGACACCTTCAAAACATGACCGTGACCGGGACACCATCAAAACATGACCGGGACACCATCAAAACAGGACCGGGACACCATCACAACATGATTGGGTCACAATCAAAACATGATCGGGACACCGGGACACCAGCATCACATGGCCCGGACGCCATCAAAACATGACCGGGACACCATCCGCCCACCAGCTCTGACGGTGACCCGACGGCGCCCGTCCGCCTATTAGTTTTGCAAGACCCCATAGCATGGCTATTGGGGAACAAACACATACGCACAAATTGTGTTTGTTACTAGTAGCGATGGCCTCCACCCTAGTAGCGATGGCCTCGCATATAGGAAACCAAGTCAAGGAGAACTTCAAGGAATAATTTTGTTCGTCTGGCCATGCCTTCCACAATACGGGCCACGGGTGAGGCGCAAGATGGTGCAGCGAAAAAAGCGCTGAGGAATACGATTGCGTCGTGGCCTGCATCAGCAATTCCCAAGCTCTGCGCCACACAGGCCGGGACGCTTGGGACCTGGTGAGCTGGTCTCAAGCGTTGGCAATGATCTTCCAAGAAAATTGAGATTTACAAACTGGATCTTGTAAAAGTATATTTGACAAAGCAAGGTAATTGACCTTTAGTTTAAAGGGCCCGAATCGTGTTTGATCAGTTTCAAGTTATATTCAAAGATCCATTCTGCAACCTCTGCACTGACGACGACCTACCGTAGATGGATGAAATCGTCAAATCCTCCAAACCACCTTGACCCCTTCCACCTCAAAACCCAATGTTAGCAAGCCTGCTAGAGTGTGTTGGCGAATGGACGAAACAAATCAAGCCCTAAAGCAAATTGAAAGAAGCTGCTTTCAACATTGAACTTTGGGGGTAAGGGGTTCGTGACAGCTCCCTGACTCATTGGTTTGAAAATTTTGTCCATCTACTTTTGTATGTGCTGTTGTGTTGTGGAATTGATGTCTGATATGGGCTTGGTGTCCTCAAGAGCAGGCCAGAGGCCCCTTGCCTCATCCAGCTGTTTGGAGTCAAAGGACAGGACCGAGGCAATAAATCCCTAGCATCGGATCTCCCAAGCCGAGCCACTGCAGGGCCACCGCAGGGCTCGGAAACCAAGGGCGGAAAGCTTTTCGGCCACAAGTCGATGTAAGGAGTTTCGTGCGTGGAAACAAAATGGCAGTTTGCTGAAACCATAGACCTAAATCTCTCTCGGCACAAACAAGGTACAGTAATAGTGTTGCAACATGTTTAAACAATTCGTTATTCACGTCCAATTTCTTGAGTTGCGGGAAGAAAAGAAACAAATCTGCATGAAGCAGCGTTGTGACTGTTCCCAATCCTTGAAGGAAGGTGCTGTTTCCAGCCTCATCGACCAACATTCGTTGGCACCGCGGCCAATCCGTCTTCTGGCAAAGCGTGCGGTCAGCATGGGTGGAAGCTGTACAGTACAGGGTTAAGTTTCGGAAATTGTTTAGATATCAGAGATGTTCTGAAATTCTGTCGTATTTTCTGTTTGTGTGTGTGTCTTGTTTGTTTGCATGCTTGATCTTCAGGTCTTTACACATGTTGTCCTTCCTTGGTCCTTCCTTCCTTCCTTCTTTCTGTCGTTCATCCCTTCCTTCCTTTTGCAGTATCTCAAATGTAGCTACAAACAAAACTGATCAATCCATGATCAGCCCCAACCAGCAGCGTTTGTCAACTCATCAAAGGTACACAAAAAGGTCGTTTCATGGCGAGTCAGAAATCACCAGCGACGACCCCACCAATCCCACCTCATCAAAGCGAACAGCACTGGGCTTATCTTTGAAGCGCTGGCAGTGCAATAGCAGCCAGCAGGCTGCTAAGGTGCGCTTCACCGGTTCTGGCGGACTCCTGGAAACAAATCGAAAACTGACGAAAAAAGGAGGATGCTGTGCAAATCTCAACGCATCACAAACATTAAGTACCCACCTTAGGAGTCGCCGGATCTCGGAGAGCTGCCTCTTTGAGAGGCCACCCACCTGCGAAATAGACACAAGTAAAGAAAGAAGACCTTGTGGAAACAAGAGAATTCGGGCTGCAAGGGCAGTCAGGTATATATATATATATAGGTTGTTCGGTTATATTTGATTATGTATTCATTTTGTGTATCAGACTGTCTCTGATATGGTTGGGGCATTGATTGGTTGAAGGTGCCTCTGTACAACGGTGCGAGTCACAGTTGCACTCTATGGAGCCCAAAGAACGACACTCAGTCAGTCGGTTTCTTCTTTTTTTTTCCTATTTGCTATATGTTCTTTGGGTTGGCGGTGAAGCCCGGAGGTGGTAGGCAGTAGCTAGTAAGATGAGCAAGCACATAGTATGGAGAGGAAACTGCTTGTAGCAAGCACACAACGGAGCAAGGTTTCTTCAAGGACGCTAGCTGGCTTGAAGAGGCCTCGCGATATGAAAGCTATTTAAACGGGAAACATGTTGAACCTAACATAATTCTGTGGAACATGTTGGCTCCAATGGCATGTTGAGCCGAGCCGAGTTGTGCTGCTTCTTTCCGATCCAGTACCAAAAGGCGGTATCAACATCTGCAGCTTGGACATGGTAGCCGACTGTGAATAGTACAGGTTCAGGCTAATGTGAGTGTTGGTGCAGTTCGCCATGCTCTGCAAAATCACCTCCCACAGTAAAACAAGATTAATCCACGCGCCAAGTGAGTGCCTCCTCGGCTGCTTTTGCACGGGCTTCGCCCAAGTGTTCAATGGCCTCCCATGCCAACTCAACTGAAAGTTGCGACAGAATCTGGATGATGCGCATGCCGCATGCTGGTGAAAACTTGGAGAGAAGGTATGTATAGTATAGATGCTTCATCATGTTGGAAGGAGCAAGTGCAATGAGCACAAAGGTGCACCACCAAAACGCAAATAATTGGAGGCACCTCCTCCCGAGTTCAATTGGTTCACCAAGGCCAAGAAATCAGTTATTCAATTCCTTTCCAACATCTTCTTGAAGCGCAATTTTATCTGCACACACTGATACAAGATGAAGACCGGAGTGTGGAAATTGATTCGGGTATTCACTTCCTTTCCTTTTGTGGATTAGAACATTTCTTTTCAGCGAGCTAGAATATAAGGAACATTAAGAGACATCTCATGTGACTGCTTGGGTCTTCCATGGGTTCCATGCTCTTTGTAGGGTAAGCTGCCCCGGGCCGGTCCCACCACACGCCCGGTGCCTCTTGGAGGTCTCCGCAGCGTTGACGACGGCCGGTGGCCTCCTCGTTGCATCTCCGCATTCTCGGCTGCAGAACCTCCGTGAGCCTCAGAATTGCCGAAAGCATCATGAGCGTGGAACTAAAGCAACAAGTTAAGGCAACTTCCTTTTTTTTGAAAAGTTGAAAAGGATTCCTCCTTTCTTGTTGTTAGTGTGTTTAGTCACTTTTGTCCGGAAACGTTGCGGGGTCTCCTGTGTCCATATTAGTAGTTAGCTACTTAAGCTACTAGCTCCATTGGCGGTGAAACGACTAGATCAGTGAAACACCGTGAAACAGAGCTGGGGGGAATACGGCAGCATGTATATTGGGACCGGCATACAAAAAACATTTGCATCCACACGCACCGCCTCGCGGTATACAACACTGCGTCTTTCCTGAAACTAGGTACTCTCTATCTGCTTTAATACAGTTCAATAAACATAATAAACCAGTCAACCGTCAACCCTATTCAAACCAATACCCTTTTAAGTTGCACGCTCGTAAGTTACACGCACACTGGAACCCCACCTGATCACTCGCTCCATCCACAGTATGTGCGTCCCGGGCATATGCATCAGGTTCCTTCCTGAATCTGGAATAAACAGGTGGAGAGTATCCAATGATGCAAAAGTAGGTGGTGGGAACCCAGAACACACGTTGATCTGGTTAGTGAGACATAAGTTTTACTGTCCGTTTGGGTTCTTGAAACACATTGAAGCCATGTGTTCTTATGATCATTATGTGCACCCAAGCCTGCCCTATATAGACACAACACACGCAGTCAGTCAGCTGCCTGGTAATTAGGCTCCCAGCTCCTTTTCTAGTCCTTTGAGCTTCTCCCGCAAGACTTGAGTGTTCTGCTCCCCCTACCAGGTCTGCTGAGGGACTCAAACAAACAGAGCTAAGGTGTTGCAGCATGTGCCGTCCTCCAGCTCCGGCTTCCCTGCCTCTCGTAAAGTCTGACCCTCCTTCTGCAAGGCACCACCACCTACGGCTGGGCACAGCTGTGGCAAAGTCACTGATCCCAAGTTCGCCGCCCCCAGCTTCGCCTAGCCTAAGCTGGGCGGCGCCCGGGACACCGCAGGGTGGAACCCGCACCCGCTTAGCCTAGCCCAGCCATTCGTCTTTTCAAGGGGCAGAGGGAGCTTTCCATGCCTCTGGCCGTGGATGCACTTGCCAAGCCTTTTTCATTGGTTTTGAAGCTGCTGTCTGGCACCCATTCCGGCCGCCTTTACGCAGAACAATACAAAAATTGGGTCAGCGGCACCCTTGCGTTAGCCCATTTCCGGGCGCCGGCCACAGGCCCGTGTCCTTGCCGGAGGCCTTCGGTTGGTAACCAAAGGTTATTTAAGGGCTTACGCCCGACAGCCGGCCAGGGGCCCAAGCAAAGGGGGGAGCAGGGAAAAAGGGCACGGGGGGTAGGGGGCGGGGGGGGGACGCGGGGGGGGTCGCCGCGGCGGAGGATGGGGGTCTGGTAACGGCCAGCGGTCGGGACGGCGGTCGCGCGGCGCGGGCAGGTGAGGCACTGGTCGGTGGGCAGAAGCTGCGCTGTGGTCGCGGAAAAGGGGGTCGTCGCACGCAGGGTATGTTTGGAGTCGTTGTGGGTGGGGTCGTGATCGTGCTTGTTGCAGTCGTGGTAGTGTTCTTGTCGTTGTAGTTGTCGTTGTTGCTCGCGTTGTTGTTGTTGGTGGTGTTGTTTGGTCATCCGAACGGTCCGAACGCAGTAGCTGATCTAGGGGTTGGAACGGTACGGGTTGCGGTAGTGGTTGCAATGGCGGTGTCAGAACGCAGGTGTGGGCGTGGGGGACTGCGTACACGCGGTTTTGGTTAGCGATGGGAACGGTACGGGCGTTCCAGTGCGAGTCGCGGTTGTCGCAGTTCTGGCTGGGGTTGCGGGTATATGGTCGCTGGGATTGGCAGCGCTATGTTGGGGCTATGTTGGCCCATCTTGGTGGCTATGTAGGCCCATCTTGGCGCTATCTTGGCCCATCTTGGGGCCATGTTGGCCCATCTTGGGGGCTACGTTGGCCCATGTTGGGGCTATGTGGCCCATGTTGGGGCTATGTTGGCCCATCTTGGGGCTATGTTGGCCCAACTTGGATGCTTTTTTGGGCCTACGTTGGGCCATGTTGACCCATCTTGCGCCGCAAGAGCCGAAAGATAGGACAAGCCAAAAACACTGTAAAACGCAGTAGGTCGGCGTACGGCAAGGCCACCTTGGGGCCTCGGGGGCCCCTGGCCGGATTTAAGGGCTTACGCCCGACAGCCGGCCAGGGGCCCAAGCAAAGGGGAGGGGGCAGGGAAAAAGGGCACGGGGGCTAGGGGCAGCGGTTGTGGTTGTGGTGGTTGTGGTTGCGCTTGTTGTTGTTGTTGTTGTGGTGGTGGTGGTGGTGGTTGTTGTTGCTTTGTTGGCCCAGCTTGGGTCGATGTTGGCGTATCTTGGGGGCTATCTGGGCATCTATCTTGGGAGCTATGCTAGCCCATCTTGTCGCTATGTTGGTGCTATGTTGCCCATCTTGTCTTGTGGCCATGTTGGCCCATCTTGGGGGCTAAATTCGCCCATGTTGGGGCTATGTGGGGCCCATGTTAGCCCAGCATCCGCCCACGATGCAGACGAAGCACCCCGGTGCGGCACGCATTTCCAGCATTAATTGGGCCTATGTTGGGCCATGTTGACCCATCGCCGCAAGAGCCGAAAAATGGGACAGGTCGGCGGCGGGGGCGGCACTCCCCTCTCTCCTACGGAGAGGAGAGATGGCCTACGGCAAGGACACGGCCTTGGGGCCTCCCGGGCCCCTGGCCGGATATACGCTCGCCGCCCCTGCCGCCGACCCTTGGTCGACCGCCGGTCGACCCCCACCCGACCCCCCGGTCGAATCCGGTCGACAGATTGCAAAAATGCTATGTTTTTCAAGGGTGCTGTCGGTTATGCGTGCCGCGCGGACAGGACTAATCGACATTTCGTGGGTGTCGGGCGCGCTCCAACATCAATGGCGGAAAATATCCTCCAAGATGACCTGATAGAGGCCCCCAAGATGACCCAACATAGGTTCCAGATATGGGACACACAGTCGCCAGATGGCCCTACATAGGTCCCAGATATGGGAAACATGGCCCGAGATTGCCTCAAGATGTGGCCATATAGGCCCCACACAGTCTCAAAAACAGAGAGAGAGAGAGAGAAGAGAGAGAGAAGAGAGAGAGAGAGAGACAGGACCCAGCCCTACACAAACCCAAGTGGGCCGGCGCCCGGCTGTCAGGCGTAAGCCTCATAAATCCATTTTCAAACGGAAGGTTTCAGACCTGTGCCTGCCACTACGCGCCCGGCGGCACACAAGGCACCTGAAAATATGTTGGAATGCAAGAATGAACGGAGTGCAAACCTAAAGCAAGCTCTCAGAAAGCACAGAAACAACCATCCAAAGAAGGGAACTGAAGTAGCCTCCCTAGAAAGATTCAAATTCAATGAGGATTGACAAAGGGTGCCTGAAGCCGCTGCCATAGGCCGTCATTGGCGTGAGGCCACAAAGCAAGAAGCACTCTGTAGGTCTGCTTACTCGTGACTAGTGCAAGAGGTCCACGAAATGCCTGTGAGTCCTTCTGCTTGATGTTAAGAAAGCAGGACTGCACAAATTGAAAAAGTGTTTGCATGTCATCATGTCAGCGGCTTTTCAACTTCTGGAGATTGATAAAACTCTTTACAGTTAAGGAAAACCTATCTATAGTGACTTCCTCGCTTGCCTGATGAGAGCGTGGACCCAGTGACAATCCCAGGTCCGAACACTATGTCCAATTTCTCTGGCTTCATCCGCAGCGTGTCCAGAGCAAATCAAACTCGAGAGTTCTACATATGATGCCACCTGTTCAAGGAAACGCTCCTGGCAAACCCTATAATATAGTCATCCAAAAGGAAGCTTGTCAGCTTGTCACATTCTACAAGGCGGAACTAGAGTGTTGCCCATGCTTGCGTGCGACTCTTATCCACCTTATCCAACATCCAAAAGATGCATCACTCTCAACCTCTGGCATTCTCAGCTGTGCACTGCTGGGCAAAGCACATCTCTCCTTCCATTTCAAGCTGCCACCCAGTGGAAGGGCGAACTGTTATGCCAAACAGGGTTGACCAAGCAAGGTGGCTGGACGACCGCTGGACGCATCTTCCAGGTAAAACGTTATGAAAAAAGAGTCTAGTTTATAGATGATAATGATAGGTATGTATTATGTATGTAGACAAAGCATTCAAGAATGTTCAAGAGCCGTCTGTCACAGCTGTGTCATTATTGTAAGGTGGAATAGGCAAGCTTCTCAGGTCCCCGCACACTAGCCGTATTGTTCGAGAAATCACTGGCCAAATTGCCAAATTGACAATTCAGGCCCACCCGCAGCAACGACAGTTGTTTGAAGCCTGTCCTCGTTTGAAGCTGTTGCGTAGTCCATGGCGCAGTTCGGTTTAAGAGCTGGTGCTTAGGTAACATCCGTTCGCAGAAAGGTTCGATACAGTGAAACGACTCGTGGTCCACGTGTCCTGTGTGATACGGTGAAAATCTGAGAGTGTTCCTTTCCTCCACTGGCTCAATCACACGCGAGGAAATACAAGGACACATGGAGAAGCAATTCAAAGACTTCGATGTCCAATGGGTATGGACTTGCATATTCAATTCCAAAATGTGAAAACATCATGTGCTAAGCCAAACGGCCAAACTGAGCCCATTTACAAGAAAGGTTTGGTTTCGTGTCAGCGCTCATGTGAGTTGATCCTGCTGTGAGCATCATACATCAATCTCATAATGGAGGAATCTGGAGCGCTGGAGTGCCTTTGGAGAACCGACAAAAAGGCGAAAAAAGCTGCTGAGCCTGCCGTCGCACCATGGGCGTGTCATCGCCACAAAGCCTCGAATCGGAGTTCTTTATAATACACATCGGAGATCAATGATTTAAAGTTGGCAGTACGCTTATATAAGTAGCTAGTAGTAAGTAGTAGTATAAGAAGCTACTACCTAGGACCCAAAAGGGCTCAGGCTTCTTCAAGGAAGCTGCCCCCGTGTGAGGGCGGGGGCAGAAGGTGTACTGGTACAATGTGCGAAAAGTTTCTCTCGGCCCACTTGAATGGCACTTCATGTATGGCACCAGTCAGCAGCAATGAATGGTAACCTACATGTATGTGCACCAAGCATGTCCACACAGCATCTGTTGCATGCATGATTCCGCACTATTGCAGCTTGCCAAGGAAATTGCAATGATGTTTTGCCATGCAAGGCTGTTCTACATGCAGTAGCTGTCTTAGAACATGGTCTGTGGATCAAACAAAATGTAAAGCTGTGACTGTTACTTTAGTCTTTGGCAATCACAACTCTGTGCAGACTTGTTGCTGAATTGCTGCACTTGACCTTGCAAATTGGTGGGATGGTGGAAGTTGCCTTTGCCTGTGACCCTGGCGTGCAGTACTTCTTCAGCAGCTCTTGCTTTTTAGCCTCCCCAACCTGCAAACGGCCAGGGCAATTCTTAGTGAAGCATGTCACTGCCAAAGCAATGAGAATTTTTGTGAGACAGCGAGCCTTTGGCAAGGCAGCGGTGAAAAGGCTGCACACCGAAATTCGAGAGGTGAACCTGCCACCAAATTTGAGCCATGTTTGATCCAGGCAACACAGCGGAATGCCATCAGATTCTGTTTCACGTGTCACACCCCATCTCACCGCTTGCGCTGCTGGCGCACCAGTCGTGAGTGGCCAGTCGTCCAATCAAACCACAAAGGTGCAACAGAACCTGCGCAAAGCACACCACATCTGGCGAAGCAAATTGGGCTCGCCACCAGTCCATGCACAAACTTATATGCTTTGTCTGTTCCTTTGTGAGTGAAGGGCATTCTTTTAATGTGTCAGAACTAGCACGAAGGATTGAGAGGCATCCCTGCGGATGGGGACTCACGGAAGCTCTTGGACGTCTTGATCCATGGCACGAATGCAATTCCTATTCAATGGCTCAGGAATGTACATGTGTAGGTAGTGTAGGTTCACTCATGTCTTCCACAGAAGGCACACCCTTCCCAAATTCTTCCAAATCCTTCCCACATTCTTTTTACATCTTTTTACGCGAATCAGCAGTGGTCGGATCTGTCCGAGCTCTCTCCAGCCTCACATGATTTCCTACACTCCAGGATGGAAGACCTCTGCAGCTGGAAAATGAGCAAGGTCTTCCCACCTTCACCTGGAAAACGGCTGGTTCAAGCCACTCAAGCCGCTCAAGCTTGAGGAAAACCATGTCTTCATGATGTCGTGGGATGTGCCAGCTTTGTCCACATTGGTGTTCATGCCCAAGAATGCCTTCCGACAAAAGGAACTCTCGGCTATAAATGTGAAAGCTCATTCAAGCAGCTTTACTTTACGTGGGCACGGATCTGCCAAAAGTTGCATGGAACAAACCACTTCTAAAATGACACGGACCTCAAAGCTTGCAGGGTGGAACCAGGGATAGGTCACGGCTGGGAACAATGCCATGCCCTCGGATGACCTCACAGGAAGCAAGAAAACTGCAAAAGGCCAAGGTTCTTCTTGTTCGTCAGAAAGACGTGGGGTTCTTGGACATAGTGGAAATAGTTGAAAACTATTGGGTCAAGCTGCAATCTTGTCATCCCAAAGCTCCACCAATCCATGGGCAGTTGGCTTGTCTTCCGGCGCATTCAGCGGCGAGGGCAGCGTGACCTTACATGTCAAGCAAAAGGGATAGATATGTTTTTTGAAGATAGAAATGGTTAGGGCCGCTAGGGCCGCTAGGGTCGAGCCAGTGCAGGCTTCCAATGGCTTGGAGGTGATCCAAGTTGCATGATGCGTCAGGCTCTCAGGATCCCATGCATAGCCGCCTTCATGATAATGGCCTGATTCCGCTATGCACATGCACTCATTGTGATATTGTGATGGCGGAAAAAGACTTGAACTTTGAAGCCTATTGAGCATGTTGCGGAATGGTGTGTTTTGATCTCCTCCCACCTGGCCTGCCAGGACCAATGGCACGACACCTGCGAAGTCCCGAAAAACTTGGAGGATGTCGTCGTAATTCCAGAGCCTTGAGTTGTTCGTCGCCACAGTCACGCGGCGACCCTGGTAAATGTCTGTTGTTAGCCCACAGAACTTGAAATTCAAGAAGACGGGCCGAAGAGGAGCCCCTAGCGTCCTATGCTCCTAGTAGTAAGGCACTTGTTACTAGAAGCGATGCACGTGTTACTAGTAGCTACTCAAAAGGCATGAAAGGACGAAACATGGAGGTTCCCATGATTCAATGTGTGTCCTGCGCGTTCCCATGGAAATAGAATTGCAAAAACCGTGTTCGACACCGTTTCGATGGATGATCCGAGCTGCAGAGCTGGTGCCACGGTGGCCTCTGGTCTCACCGGCAAATGTGTCAACACCTGGGACAGGCGACACCAGACACTGAGATACTTCAAACCAGTTGCCAGCCCGCCTGGGGACCAGGTATATGTTTTCTTCAAAAAAGGACAAAACAACAAGGTAAAAGCCCACGAACCCGAATGCACACACGTAGGCAAACACAAAGGGCCAAAAAGTTGGCTGACACTCTTGCTTCACAGTCTTCAAGACACCGTGTGGGACACTCTTGTCACACACTCTGACTCTTGTGGGAGACTCTTGAGACTCATCCAAAAACGACCTGGCAGCCCTCAAAACGAGCATTCATCATTCATGCGAGACTTCCTCCAAAAGTGGCGCATCAAGGCTCCAAAACGAGCATTTCGTACGATACTTCCTCTAAAAAGTCACGCGTCAAGTTACTAAAAAGAGCATTTATATAATTTGGTATGATGTCCTGCAAAAGTCTTAACTGAGAACTCTCCAAAACGAGAATTTCGTTTAAGACTTCCTCCACAAGTGAAGCTGGACGTCTCATTCGTCGCTTCGCAGTCGGGAATGACAACCTCAGCCGTCACAGCCTATCACCTTGGCTGATGGCGGAATTTTAGGGCTAGGTGGTGAGATGTGTGCAGTACTCTGTCTTTCACCACCCTTCTCCCAATTCAGGGACCCCAAAGGCGGACAAAGGCGGACAAAGGCGCAACTGCTCTGTCACCTGACGCTGCTGCATCTTCAAGCTCCTGGAACAAGTCTCACGCCCCATCTCTGACACTAGAGGGAGTGAAATGATTCTTGACACGCATGATCTAACACAAGGTGTTGACGCGTAACGTTGCAAAGCTGCTTTGAAAAATAACAAGAAGCTACTAGTATATAACTAGTAACAAGGGCATCGCTACTAGGGGCAAAGGGCATCGCTACTAGGAGCAAGGACGCTACTACTAGCTCCTGGCCTTATTACTATAGTAACAATAAAGCTATCGATCACAGCGACCTCACGGAGCCACTGCAGCTGCTCAGGCTTTATGCCACCCCCCATCGGCACAAAGCGCTTTTGCAAACCAGAAAGGCCTGCCTGGGCTGAAGGAAAGGAATTCTGCACCCATACGAAGAAGCAACATTACGAATTTGCTGATGGGATCCAATGGCATTCCAACTGCAAAATCATAAACTAGCACTGTTGTAACTGAGTCCAGATCTGTCAGATCTGTGCCTTGCTCATATGAGCGACCGGCACAACTAGGGGTCGTTGGGTGAGAAGTTTTAAGGCAGGTATCGTTTTGGGATTGGTATCGCTTTTCAATCAATATGCATTATATTTTTGGAAGGTATCGTCTAAATGTAAATTGCCCTGGAAGGTGATCTGCAAAATGATGACTAGTAGCAGTAGTAGTAGCAGCAGCAGTAGTAGTAGCAGTCGTCGTGAAGTAGTAGTAGTAGTAGTAGTAGTAGTAGTAGTAGGAGTGGCAGTAGCAGTAGCAGTAGCAGTAGTAGCAGTAGTAGTAGCAGTAGTAAATGAAGTAGTAGTAGTAGCAGCAGCAGCAGTAGTACTAGTAGTGAAGCAGTAGCAGTAGCAGTAGCCGTAGCAGAAGCACTAGAAGCAGTAGTAGTAGTAGTAGTAGTAGTAGTAGGAGTAGGAGTAGGAGTAGTAGTAGTAGTAGTAGTGGTAGTAGTGGTAGTAGTGGTAGTAGTGGTGGTGGTGGTGCTAGAAGTAGTGGCAGTTGTAGTGGCATGAAAGTGGCCAGGTGGTTTCTGACGGGATACAGACCTATGAAGTGGGTATCGGTTGGTATCGTTTTTGGTATCGGTCTAAACCCATAATTGCTTCCCATCGAAGAAAGAAAAGAATGAGCAAAAACAAAATGGAATGTCCAACTAGCACGGCGAACCATACACAAAAAACCTTGGACATACACTGTCTCGAGTGTCAACAGTGTCAATAGGCATAGATAGATTCCAAGATGTGTACCGTCACAAGGCTAGGTATCGTTTTTGGGATTGGTATCGTTTTTTCAAGGAAAATGGAAATTGAAATTGCTCATGTTTGTAGAAACGTGAGTGCCGCAAACCCCTTTCAATCTGTGTCGTGTGATGCTCTTCTTTTTTATGCACATATGCAGTTGGTTCATTCCACCTCCTTCTTGGGAAGGGATGGAGGCTCCATCATCTTCAGAAGCCAAGTCGGCTCAATGAATGGCCCAAAAAGCTTTTGCACGGGCGGCGTTGTCAAGCCATAGACGACAAGCATAAAGTAGAGGTTCAGCAGGCAGCAGAATGTTATGAAGCCGAAGTATTGGAAGAACCGTGGCAAAATCTCAGGATGGATATTGTTTCTATTTGCCAACCAGCAGAGGGCAAAGTTAGCCAATTTCACAAAGGGAAAGTGCAGCAGGTATGAGTAGATCGTCTTGGAGCCAGCTTCTGTGAACCATGTCGTGCTGCGAGGCACTCCAAAGAATAAGAAGATCAGCATGGTCACCGTCCGGTATGTCAAGCACGAAAAGTACCGAGCCCACATGAAACGGTAGTCTAATGGACAAGAGGCAGCGTCTGGATAACTCAAAAACGGCACAGGTTCCGTTTCCAAAATATCAAAGACGCCGAAGGTTACTCGATGCCAAAGGCGCGGATGATTCTCCAAATAGATCAAGCTCATCAGCGTAAACCAAACGAAAAGAATGCAGGAGCTTCTTGGTGCTGGAATTGCTTCGAGCAAGCCACGAATGTCAAGGTGCTGCCCCATGACGTAGAAAGGAAAGAGGCTCAATGTTCGTTGGTAAGCAAAGAAGCCCAGGTACCATCTATTGGGCGAAGCTGGCGGCCAATAGATGCTGAGGAGTCCACTAGCCACGGCTAGGGCAATCTGAAGAGCTTTGGGCCAAGTGCATGTAAACATGGTGACCTTGCACTGGCTCTCAGGAAGGTCTTTTGGACGTCGTGACCTACGACCTACAAGACATTCCGACCAACTTTGGTTCAGAATTGAAAAAGTGTCAAAATAAGTGACAACCCAACCAGGTTCAAACAAAACATCATCACACAGCCTTGTTCAAGAATCCAAGGGACCAAGCGCCACAGTATCAGGCTGCGTAAGAACCAAATAAAATAGCTGGGGCCACTTCCAGTGAGCAAGGACCACATTGAATCTTCGTAGTAAGGATCATTCTTCAGCCAAAGGTTGCCACTGAACAGTGACCTTTCCACTAGGACTTGGTTCAAAGGGTTGATGACAAGAGTGAAGAACAGCAAGGGAAACCCCAATGTAATTACGGTCTTGAGGAGCCCCTGCCAGCTAAAGGGGCGCACAAAAGACCCGGAGAGGAATACAAAGAGTGGCATGTGAAACCAAATCACGTCTCCTGACTCAAAATTCTTCCACATATCTCCGATGTGGAACACACCAATGTGAGACCAGCACACTAAAGTCATGCCCAAGAATTTTGCATTGTCGAAATGTGCGTTTCTGCTTGAAGACTGCTTGGGCTCCTTCAAATCATTGTCTGTTTTGGGAAAGATTCGTAGTGCAGTGTAAAGCAAAGCAACCACATGCAAGGAGATCAGGATGCAAATACACGAAGGCACGGCATAGCAACTGAAGGTCCTCCACACGGATGTCACTGTATCCTCCGCAGCCTCAAATTGGTTCAGCGCTGAAGCAGCCTTATTTGTGGCGTGCTGCAGCAATGCTCCAGATTTGACACCGATTTCAGTGCAGACTGAAATTGAATCAGACATGGATCCTCAGTAGGCGCTTTCGGAAAGTATGTATGGACCATGCATAAGGTTCAAGGCTGCATAAGGTGTTAGTCCAGGCCAATGAAAGGCCTTGAGCAAAAGCGAGCATCGGTTTCGCAGCATGACAACATTCAGATTCAACCATGCTGGTCTTTTTGCACTTCAGATCTCTTCACCCTTTCAGAATGAATCCAAACGAAAGCCATGGGCATCCAAGCAACTGACATGTCGATGGTACCACGTGGGGCACGCAAGTCATTCGGGTTGTGCTCGCTGATGTAAGCAATCCCCTGACATTGCGAAGTGTAGACTGCATGTCGCATTTTTACCACAACATCGATCCTTGTTAGATCGCAACAATTTCTGGCCTCCTCCACAGCTGGCCCACCGCCTTTCTCGATGACATTCAAATCGTAGGCGTCCTAGAAAATAAAAGACCCAGAAATCAATACTCTTCAACATGTCACTTGCAATCATGACAAAGGACAAATCAAGCACCATCGAACATGAGATTGATATTGCCCTGGCATGTGTAAGCAGAGATGTAATCCTTTCTAACAGAACCTGGACCACAAAGTGATGGGCCTACGGCCTACATAAGCTGCCATGATTCCAAGATCAGGAAGCGCCAGCCAGGCACCAGCTGCAGTCTCCGGTACCAGGGGACTGGGCAAAGTCCACTCAACGAGAGACTGCTGGCGCTCCACCAATTGCGGCAGTACAATTGTGCTGTTGACTCTTTTCGCTTTCTTTGTGCTCTTTAGGCCAACTTCAATCCCAAAACAATCGGGGACAGCCAAGAAGCAAATGTTTGGGATGAGCGTCTTCGCTTCTTCCCTGCAGAAAGGCATGAGCTGTGCCAGTGGAGAGCTACTACCTTTACCTCTCATCCTGGAATGGGTCCAGGGGAATTTGTGTCTATGTGCAGTACTTGTATTGTACAATTATGTCTCGGCACGCTCAAGCTTTGCAGGGATTTGAGAAAGTCCTTGCTTTTCGCCACATGCCATCATCCATGTGCATTTTCCATCACGTTTCTGTTCCAAATTATTGATGCACTGTCCGTACCTGGCCTATTGAAGTTGTACAGCTCGTGGTTGCCCATAAGATGGACGACATGAGCAGGAGCATCCTGCCAAGCGTCCAAGACCTCAGTTCTACCTGAATTCCTCACCGAGTATTCAGAAACATCGATGGAATGATGAAATCACTCGCTCTTACCTTCGTGACCCGATGGCAATCAAGGAATCGTTGAAAGGTCCTGACTGGAATTGCTAAGATACTACAGTCATGACAGTCATGCAACAAAGCCACCAATTGCAGAGCTCTTTCCGAATCGTTGTTTGCTTCGCACTGCCTTGCTTAAGCTAAGGCTGGAGGCATGTCTCAGTTTGGGGCGATCCTCGTTATTGCAAGATTGTTCAAAAAAGCTATGCGGGATATATCTTTGAAATGGAGAAAAATATTGAATGGCATCAACAACCTGCAAAAATAGATTTAAAAAACTCTTGTACAAGGTAACGCCTATCATTGAGTTGCTCTTCACTACTGTGATACTGTCTATCCAAAGGCGCTGGTCGATGATGTCCTTGGCTCCAAACATGCTTGTCCAAGAGGACTCAAGATTGCGAAGATTAGAAGCGCATGAAGTGATCATGCAGTGCAAATGTGCTCCCTGAGCCAACTGAACCAAGAAGCACCAAGGTCTGCAATGAACAATAAGGGCGGGCCTTTTTTCCAATCCTTCAGACCACTCAATCGTTTTGCAAGAAAAGCTTCGCAATACTTATCAATGTAATGTCGAAAGTGTAAATGCACGCCGATTACATAAGAATCAAAAATCTGTTCTGAGGATCAAGCATCTTTGTATAAACTACGTTTGATTGAAAGAACCGCACCTCAACGGCCAATTTGAGAGCTTCTAGCGCTCCACGGTAGCGACGCTTTTGAGTGCGCCGGAAGTTCCAGGCCTTGATCAACAAAAGGTAACTGTGAAATAAGCAAGACTTGCAAAGGTGCAAAAACAATTGAATCACGTGCCCATTATTCCAAGACTGCTTCCCTGATACACACGCAAACTGAGAGCTCTTCATCATCTACGTCAGCATACCTTGGACACACGTGCTCATGAGACTCACTCCAAAGCGAACCACAAAACTCTCAGGTCTGCCAAAGGCAACGAAGGCACTGTACGTCAGCCACCACTCCAAAGCATGCCTTTGGCTCGGGTGGCAATGCAAAGCTGGCACGTCGTGAACGCAGCGCCAGGACGCCTGCGAGTCCAAGCAGTGCAAACATGGACGAGCGCTTGCGAGGGCACTTGCAGATGAACACAATGAAACGTTTCCCCTGTCAAGTTGAAGCAAAACCAAGTCAACAACGGTTGCACCATACAGTAAATACACATAAATTACACTATCTATCTCCCTACCCATTGCAGGGCCTGCAGCCACGCCTACGGCACCAGAGCTGCAGAAACGTCGGAAGCCGCAGTGCATGGCACGCAGCTTGCAGAAACGTCTAAGCAAAAAGGAACCTAATAGCAATAGGAGCCTACTAGCGATGGAATCCACCCAAATAGCGATGGCCTCCACCCTAGTAGCGATGGCCTCAAACCTAGTAGCGATGGCCTCCAACCTAGTAGCTTTTGCAATTGCATCAAGCGACTTGGGCATCTTAACAAAGCAAAATTGCATTAGCCGTTCATTGGCCGCAATGCGATACCCCGTGTAGCATGAGCTGCCTTCTGTCCACAGGTCTCTTGAAGCCTTGATTTCATGTTGTACCTACGAACTGCACCAGACTTAGTCCAGGAAGATCGCTTCCAATCTTGGAGGCCCGAGTGGCATCCAGCATAGTGCAGTGTCAGTAATAGTAAGTAAGTGCCATGTTTGTGGAATGTGCGTTGTCCATGGGATCCCTCAAGGAAGCATGGATCCTTTTGATGTGCTTTGTCCATGTGACATGTGCGAATTCTGGAACTTGGAAGCTGTGAGAAGATTGCAGCCATACACGTCGAGCGACAGCTAGAAGAGACTATATAAGCTGCACTGATTCGTGTAATGACTGTTTACATTCTAGTGAAACACTCAAAAAGAAGAGCATTAAAAAAACAAAAAGGCAGTGATAGTTGATAGAATCAAATGAGCACGCTGCACACATGATAACTGTATATCATATAAATTATGTGTGCATGTATACATATATATATATATATAACATTATATAACATATATATAAATGTATATATTGAGCAACAGGTGAATCGCCTGTTCAGGAGACATGTGGTTGGCAATTGACCGGATGGCCTCACGGATTGCATAAGTGAATGTCAGTCCAAGAGAACTGGCACAAAGTGTACACAATTGTACTAATTGTACCAATTGATGAGAACAAAGGTCGCTGAGGTAGTACCAAATAGTACCAACTGCTGGGGTAGCAATGGCAAATGAGGATGGTGTCAAAAAGGTCATTGCAGCTTGCCTGGAGATTGGACACGTGTACTAGTACCAAATGTTGGTGCCCTCCCTCCAGCCTCTAAAGCCTTTTCCCTAACCGTAATCTCCTCCACGTTGCAGAGCTCCTTCGCGACACATGAAGCAAAATGTCAACAGTTGTCTTGCGTGGCAAATGATTGCTCAACTCAACTGAGCGGTCTCCATCTGCGAAGTCAACACATTGTCGGCTCCATCTGTGCCATAACAAAACATGGAGAGCAGTTTCTCAAAGCCTCCAAAGGGCCCAGCAAGGCGTGGCAGTAGGCAACGCCGCCCACGAGATCTATGCCTCTCCTGGAGTGGACGAGATGGACGAGTCGACCGCTACTTTTGGGAGGCATACATTCTTCTCCATACTTGGTATTGAGAGTGTTCATGAACGTCCCTATGCATACATTTCAAAGTCGGAAAGTAGCCACGCCACCTACGACTTAGGCCAATTGGTGTTGAAATGTTCACAAGGCTATCAAACTGCAGCCGCACCCGAGTTGCTCAGCCATCGCCACCAGGACCTCACAATTCCAGAAAGTCTCAAGCTGATTCCGGCCAAGCGTACGTAGTACTTGACGGTAAACTAAGGAAAGCAAAAGCATCCACAACCAGGGGAAATGTACAAAAGAGTCGTTCAACAGCCCTTATTAATTCAGAGCTCGCAAGCACATTTAGGAGATGTCCTTTAATACCCTTCTACCAAATAGATTTCAGTCCAGCAGCATCATCATCATCGTCCATGATCTCCTGCTGAGGGACGCACGGAGGGAGGGAGGGAGGGAGGGAGGGATGGATCATGTATGATGCAGTATGTACATTTTGTCATTTTTTATATTACTGCCATGACAACTCCAGTCCACCAATTGTACTACTCAACATCGTCATCAGAAAAGGACTGAGATGGAAAAAGACAAATGAAGTAGGAGGCCATCGCTACTATAGGTTGGGGGCCATCGCTATTAGGTTGGAGGCTGTCGCTAGTAGGTTGGAACTCCATACCTTTCTTCTCGGACCTGGAGGAAGGGCAAGAGCTCCTCTCTGGTCCTGCCATCGCACCGGCTTGGAAGTGCAATCTGCCACGAAGGCTCAAGACTGCAAACATTCAGATGCCCATCTACAGTGAAAAATATGGACTGCGGGTATCTGTACATCGCATCATACCGGCGCATGAAGCGGCTTTTTAGGATGAACTTCCCGCATCCCTCAAGGCCTCTCTGGTCCAAGAGCTGTGGCGATGGTCCCCAACTGCTTCACCGCATTCACCCGCAGTTGCAGTTCATCATGCCTACATCATTCCAGAAACAGCAAAGAGTCCAACCAAACCGGTGCTGCAAAACAACTCCTCGATTTCCTGCCACACCTATTACGAATCAGTTGGAAGACACCAAACATTTTGCCACAGTGGCAATCTGTTTCTTCAGTCACCCAAACTCTGCTCCCGCCTGAGCTCATCAATGAGGACAGCCACCGGGTAGAGGGAAGAGTCCACTCCACCCGCGACCTTGCATGTTCAAAGGCAAGCGGTGCTTTTGTATATCCTAATCGGCTGACACTTATCGCATGTTCCGCAGCCGCGGAGTTCCCTAAAAGTTCAGAGTTGAGGCCTCTTTGTTGGCCAATGACTCAATGAAATTGCAGGATCTACAACCATAGCCACAGTAGCAATAAAGCCTGAGTTTGCTGCGCTCATCTGGGAGCCTTGAAGCAAAGGGGAGATGTAAAAACGATTCCGTCCCACCAACAGAATTTGGCCGTAGTGAAATAACGCGCATTGTGTGCTTCCCCGTTTGACGATGACGCTACATCTGGCCTTCATTTACAGTAATTCTTGAAGTAGCCGGCAACAAAAGTTTCTCGCCAACTTGACAATAAAATATTCCCGAATGACATAAGTCATTGTGCGAAGGTCAGCAAACTCACTGTCTGCGCAACACAATGTGTTTGAATTGCCTCAGCCCGAACGGCTGCTCCCTGAAAAGCACCCATCCCGAGCCAGAATGCTGAAGCGAACTGGTGAACAGCGCAAGGCATGCTCAGAAGGGAAACGTTTCCTTACCACTCCCAAATTTGAATCAACTTGATCCACCTGAAAACCTCTAAGACTTCTAGGCACGTCATCTCCTTGCTTACCCAATTGAGTACTCAACGCAAGTCTTTTGAGTGGCGCCGTTCTTGTCGTGGCCCCTTGTTGTTGCTTTCACTGGAGGCATTGAAAGCTGGCGTGGATGTGTTCATGCGTTTGGACCCATTGGTCGCCTTTTTGGACGGCGTCACTGCTGCACTGTCGCGACCGTTGGGGACTCCGATCATTCCACCATTCCTTCTTCCACTTGCAGCATGAATCCTGTCAGAAAGAGCGTTGAAGGGGAGCAGAATAGTGGAACAAAAGGAGATCCGACACTCTACCTAAAACCAACATACATGTAGGAGCAAGAACGCTACTAGGGGCTCCTGGCATCGCTACTTACTAGGAGCAAGAACGCTACTAGAATTGTCCAGCCTGAGTCTTTTCTGATTCTTCCCACTCAAGGTTGGATCATCCCAACCCTCCGTTGGGGAAAATCCTGAATTGCTGGGGTGTCGAAGCCACCCTAAGGTAAGGCTGCCCAAGCAGCAACCGCTTTTCTCTGTAAACAGCTGTGCCTCTTCACCATCGATCATGGCAAATGCAGCTTCATCCCTTGTGCATTTTCTGTGGTAGCTCTTTCTGATCTACGCGTTTTGGCAGGACACAGTAAGAGCTGCCTTGCGGTCCTCAGAACTTCCCCACATTGGCAGGAACCAAGGACATCCCTGATCAAATACGACACCCTTGCAAGAGGATTGCCTTTCCAAATCGTTCTTTGGCCAAGATGTTTGTCTGGTCCAAGAATGCCAGGCACCAGCCATTGTTCAGCTGGACTGCCACAAAGTGCAATCCCATTCTTTCCAGTGCAACGTGTTGACAGTCGTGTCTGGTCTCTGAAGCTTTCATCCAGCCGGACGCTGTTGGTTCATGGAGTATCTGAAACACTATATAGAGGGTGTGGTCCTCATACTCGCTGGTGATGCTCACAAGAATCATTCCTTTGGACACGCTGCATCCTAAGCTCTCAGCGTATATAAGGCCTTTCGAGCGACCCATAAGCAAGGGACTACCGCAAGAGGCGGCGGTTCATTTCCCCTTCCAAGTCTAATGCACATGCACCTTGCTTCAATTCGTCCAATTCTTTCTGAAGCTCTGCCTGGATCTCTGCATTTTGCTTCTTTTTCTGAGGTTGCGATCGTTGATGACCTGCTTCCAGCAAGCATCGTCTCTGGACGTTCTCCAAAATCCTCACCACTAGCGGCAGAAGATGATGATGTCTGGCGTTACCACTCGGACTCTTCTCTTGCATCTCTCTCTCAGTCAGTCTCCACGAGCCTGAAAAACCTGGCCCGAGCCTTCCCAGTTTTCGGAAATGATGTAGCTGCGTAGCTGTCGGCAACGAAAACAAGGTCTCCAAACGCCAAAAAAGCCAACTCCTCGTAACTTTAGAAAAATCTTACACTCTGGACAGTGATTGGGCGATCCAAAGAGGACCTCATCCAGGTCACGTCCACCTCTGGCGACCCTCGGCCTGAGCGAGGCAGCTGCTGTCGGTGCAAGAGAAGGTCCTGTCGGAACTCCGGGATCTCGGCAGCAAAGGATTGCAAGCACCCCACGCTCGCATGACAACACGGGCCAAGGCAGATCATTTTGGATATAAATCTTCTGGATAGCAATGATCCAAGTCGTCTGACTGACCTCCAGGTGATTGCGAGAAGACCGGATCAGACATGATGAGACAAATCCAGAACAGCGAGGGAAGTTCAGGGCCGCCCGGCAAAGGGTGGAACAAAACTGGCACTTGTACGATTGAGACCTCCAAGATAGGAAATATGTTGGTATCAAGAAATACCCAGACTTCTGTTCAGACAACCTAGAATAATGGACAAAGGAAAAAACACTATGTCATGTGTTTGATCATATCTCTTGATCCCAACACAAG